CATCCCTGTAAGCCTTTTTATGACCTGATGTCATCATCGTCATCTAGCTGGTCCCCTTGCTTCTGGTCTTGCTCCCTCTGGTCCTTCCTCACACCACTACTGGAGTGATTGCCCTCAAACATAGCTCTGGTGTTTTCTCTTTCCTGATTAAAGACAGTTTGTAGCATTTCCCCACCCCTGGCTCAGTTGGGGGGGTCTGTGCTCACCATTGCTCCAAAGCGGGATACTCTGATATTACCGTCTTGATGCTGCTCTTTTTAATCCATCATTTGGACATTCATTTCACCACCTCTAGTTTTATAATAATGAGTATTTTATCAGCCAATTTTTAACCATCATCTGGATTTCAAAACTTGGACTTCAGTGATCCTTAGAGCAAGGGAAGACACTGAGCTTGGATGAGAGAGAGGGTCAGTATGTCTTTTTTTTTTTTTTTTAAAGATTTTTTTTTTTTTATTTTTTCCCCCCAAAGCCCCAGTAGATAGTTGTATGTCATAGCTGCACATCCTTCTAGTTGCTGTATGTGGGATTCAGCCTCAGCATGGCCGGAGAAGCTGTGCGTCGGTGCGCGCCCGGGATCCGAACCTGGGCCGCCAGCAGCGGAGCCCGCACACTTAACCGCTAAGCCACGGGGCCGGCCCAGTATGTCTTGATGGGTGTTTTTGAGGGAAGCTTGCATTTGGGAATGTGGTGCTTGATGAAAGCTCATGGGCAGTGAGCAAATCGCACAGTGCAGAGGACATAGTAGAGACATTTTGGCAACAACAGCAAATACCAAAAGGTTTCATACCTACTTCACACCTACTTCCTGACCCTAAAAAACAAACCATAAACCTTTCAGCTGTGGCCGGCAGAGCATCTGCACCAGCAACCCAGCACCCCAAGTCACATGTGGAAGAGACGCAAGAGTTGGCCAGAGGAATTTCCTGTTCAAACACGGCCACAGTCAACTCATTCTTTTCCCTTTGATTAGTATTCACTGTTCATGCTTAGCTGCTTATGATTGGCACCCTGTTTGCAAGTTGAGTTGAAGTATCTGGGAAAGTAGAATAAGCAGTCAAAATGGTCATCACATGTCCACAGTATCCAAATGGTCATCACATGTCCATGGTATCCAGATGGCCAAGTCAGAAACATACTTTGCCTAATGGTGAGTTTCCTTCTCTTTCCTACCTTCCCAGTCTTGTCCAAAGCAACACTTGCCTACATACCTGCCAAACTGCTGCTCTCTGAAGTATCCCTATGTGTTCCTACCTCCAGGCCACTGCTCATGCATTCTTTGGCCTCTGGGGCCTCTCCAGCCCCATCTCTGTTGGTTGAAATCCTTCAAGACTCGTTTCCAGGATTACGTCTTCCTGAAGTTCCTCCGTCCCATTGTGGAGTTTCTTCTCTCCTTCTAGAGCTCTCTCACAGTGTTTCTGACTCTTCCTTGCCTTAACTAGCCATTTTCATTGATCAACCAGGTTGAACAAATGGGGATGCACATTTGGTGCCTGACTCCTCACTCACCTGAGACCAACTCTGGACACAGGATGGGCACTTGGCAAACTTCCATTTGGAGACCAATCTCAGCTTCTTGGCTCTACTCTTGGGGCTTTGTGGGAATGTCTCCAGGGTTGCCATGAGTGGAATTTTAAAAAAATTTTATCAAAATTCCTGGAAACACATGATAAAAATTGTCCTACAAGATTATACATTATGTATGTTTGCATGTGAGTGTATGTGTGTATTATGTATGTGTATGTGTAAATTGTTAAAGGATAATTTTTTAAAAAGGGAAAATCATGACTCGTATAAGTATAAAATGAATACTTGTCAAATATTTTGTTTAACTCATTAATTAGAGAACCGGCAAGATATTACAGCTGTATCAAAAGAGAACCCAGAGTACTACACTTGTATAAAAGTCAGGTAAGGAATGCTGGAATAGTTTTTAAAATGGATACAAAATTAGTCAGTATTCCCAGGGGGATAATCAGTGGCATTCCATGAGACGTAACTTACCTTTCTATGGACAGGAATTGTTTGCATTACTACATTTTGTACGAGTTAACTTCTGTCTGTACAGAGTTTAAAATGGCCTTAGTCAAAGACAAATATGGATAGCTGGCCAGGACACCTACTAAATTTCAAAGTCACAATTTCCTCTCATTTTACTTATGACAGTCTCCATTGCATCTAATATTTTACATTAGATATGTGACTTTGTAGTTCATTTTTCAGAAACTGATAGTTTATATGTAAAGAGGTAAAAATTACTTTTGTTTAAGCGCCCAGGTTTCATTCCTTACTCATTCCATACTCGGTCTGTTGAATCCATTGGTCCATAGATTATCCACAGCACTAAAAATTCTTTCCATACCAACAATAGACACTGGAATTGAAATAGAATTTTGGGCCAGTTTTAACATATTTGGAGCAACAGGCTCTTTGTTGAAAAACATTTCCACGTATCAAGAAATGTTATTCTCTCAAGGCAAGGGAACAAGATACCAATGTCCTTATAAAGAGGATTTTAGGGGGACTTTTTTTTTCTTCCATGGAGACAGCTTCCAGATTTGAACTATTTACCAGAAGAGGGGGGTTTTTCATCATTAGTCAAATACAAGTGCTACATACAGGGTCTTGGAGCATGATAAGGGAAATTTCCAAATTTTTTCCTAGATATTTGACCAAAATTTGTGATCTTCCTGGCTTTTGACCCTGTGGTTTATGAGTCCCATTTATCCCTTGCAGCTGACACTTGGCACCATGAAAATTATTTAAAATCAATATGCAGGGACTGATTTTTACCTTGTAATTTTAGTGCACTTTGCATATGTGGTTATAAACCCTTTCTCAATCCTAATGTTGTATATTTTTGCTTTTTGCCTTATTTGTAGAGGTTTTACCTGTTTTACTGATATATTATAAAAATTAGTTCTTGGGTTACTTATCATTTCTATAGGTTTGGTGTTTAGTTTGATTTTGTTTTTTAATGTATCAGTTTCTAAGTTTATCTATTAATTGATTTCTCATACTTTTTTCCCAGCTTCTTGAGTTGAATCTTCAGTTCATTTATATTTTTACTTGTTGAATTATAAAAGAGTTTAAAACCACGTGTTTTCCTCTCAGTACAGTTTTGGCCTCATCACAGTTTAACATAAAGTGTTCTCATTATTTGTGGTTTGTAAATAGTCCATAATCTTGGCTTTTGTTTCTTCTGTTACCCAGGAATTATTGGAGTGTTCAAAATTTTCCAAGGAATTGGATTTTTAAGTTATCACTGTTAGTTTTCCCATTTTTTTTATTCATCAAATATTTAGGCAGTGTGTTCTGTGTCAGGAACCATACCAGATGCAGGGAATAGTAGAGTGAATACAACCAGCCTGGTCGCTGCCTTCATGGGAGCCATTGTTTGCTGAGTGAGACACAGATGTAATTGCACAATTAATCACAATTGTAATAAACATTATGGAAGAAAATCTCAGAGTGCCCCAAACTTCTAAACTTTACTAGAAGTGAAGTTGCCTGTTGTATTTAGTGAACTTTTCCTTAATCTTATTTCCTTACCTCTTTTCCTGAACACGAATGCTTTTAGTATCTGTTTGACTCAGGTAGGCAAATAATTTATGTTCTTATATGTAATTCTGATGGTTTCTTCCTGAGGCTTCCCGTAAACTCTAAAATCTAAAGGACCCTCAGCGCATATGAGGTTTTCAGTTTATGACTCTACTTGTAATAAAAGTTAAAACATGTATAAGTAAATGCTGTTATTTTTTTGAATAAACAAACCCTATATTTAAAAAATTAAATCTTAAAAGAATGTTTTCAGCGTAATAGATGCACATTAATTTTAAAGATCACTATATACTGAAAGGCTTAGTGAAACAACCAGCACTCATTGCTCTCTCTTTCCATATCCCATTCATTCCCCAGAGGCAACCACTTAACAGTTGTATAGTGGTTTCTTCTGGTAGTTTCTGCCACATTTCCACCAATGTGTTTTTGCTACAATTTCTTGATCCATTCACGTTAGACATTTGGTGACTTCTTTATATGATAGATGTTGGTTTCGTTTTCCTGAACCACCTTTCCTCATTCTTTAAAAACACTCATGTTACTATAGCTAAATCACTTCTGTGTTTTAGTTATTAGGCACACACACAAGTCTTGACCTATAACATGTAGGATGACTGCAACATGAGTTCCTAGCATCAAGTCTGGAAGATCAGGAATTCAGGTTTCTATTCCTTTCTTCCAGGAAGGCACCTTATACACATTGAGCCATCCATTCCCTGGTGACCAAGCTTTACATACCAGAGATCTCAGTCGTAAAGGATCTTTATGAATCTCTGGGCTGTGGGTACCTGCTTGTCCTGTATTTGCTTAACTAAGTCACTCCTTCCATGACTGCATACGGAAAAGAAGTTGGGCTTCTTGTAATTAAAATACCATACCCAGTGTGAATATGACACAGCTATAGGCTATAGGGAATCTGGAGGAGATAGCCTTGACTGGAGAGATGGGCTGGCTAGGTGCACAACATACACAGGTGAATTGTGTGAAATTTCCTGGGGCCTTCAGCAATGGTGAAGATGTTGAGGAGAGAGCAAGAAGCTTTGGACTCAGGGAAAGAGATCTGATGTAGCTGTGAAATAACTCTGGGTGACCTCGAGCAATCTGCTTTACTCTCTGAGCTCCTTGCTGTTGTAGGGTCTATGCACCCATGGAGGTAGGTGCTATTCAGGGGATCTTGGCATCATTTCAGAACAGTGGACTAGGTCGCTTCAGAGGATATCTTCCAAGTGTGAGATTCTGTGAAAAACAACAAAATCAAGGCCGTGAAACTTCCCATCTCTGCATGAAAGAGCCTTTAAAATCTTTAGTTGTGCCCAGGATTTGGTACACATGCCATTTAGGATGTTTCCTTTTAGTCTTCATCCACGGTTTTCCTTTCTTTAGCTTCTTCTGGTTTATTTCTCTCCTCTCTCATACTCTGTATTTTCTTCTCATTCCAGCTTTTGAATCGAAAAGACAAGACCACCTTTGAGAAATTGGACTACCTGATGTCTAAAGAAGATAATTACAAGCGGACTCGGGAATATATCCGAAGCCTGAAGATGGTTCCCAGTATTCCCTATCTAGGTAGGAGTCTGAATTGGCTTATTATTTTTTAAGAAATCTGCTCAGTGCTGAATAAGATGTTTTTATAGTTTCTAGTTGAGAACTTTCCAGGAAACCTCATGGGCCATGGATAAATGGGTAATTGGTTGGTTCCATGGATTGGAACAGGCTGTTGATACTTCCCAAGGATAGGAACCTTGAGGAGGGCCTTGAAACAAGGGATATTCTGCTTCTTATACAAGTGACCAGTGAATCCCAAGCCTCCCTAGCCTGCAGCTGAGAGGGTCATAGTGACAGTAACAGGACTCAGCTGGTTCATCCACATCCTCCTGAACTGGGGGAACTCAGGCCCAAACCCCTCTGTCTGGTTCTCTAGGCATTATTAATATATTTTATAAGATTTGTACCAACAAAGTTATAACAACAATTATTGATTTTTCTGATTAGAAAATGATACGTGTTCATTGTAAGGAATTAGAAAAAGAAGAAAATATCATTTGTTATCCTACCTAGAGATAATCATGATTTTGCTTCATATCCTTTCTTTTGTTTAGGTACATACAAAATATGTGAACTTTAATTTATTACCTGCATTTCTATACTGTGACAATCTCATCACATGGATTTATCAAACTTGAATCTGCTAATATTGACAAGTTGTTTCTACATTTTTGCTATTAAAAGTTTGCAATGAACATCTTTGTTGCAAAAACTTCCTACATAAAGTTATCATTATTACATTATAATAAATTCCTAGAAGTGTGATTATTGGGTCAAAACTTGCGCAAAATTGCATGCCTTTTCATGTATATTTTCAAAACGCTCTCCATAGAGGTTTCATTGGAAGGAGGTGAAATTGCCTATTTTTCCTACATGCACAAATACTGTGTATTTTCATGTGCATTTTTTTCTTTTCCTTTCTCTTTTTTTTTTCTTTGCCAATTTGACAGGTAAAAAATACTTCTTGTAGTTTGGGTTTCACGGTTATGCTAATTTATGAAAAAAATGTCTTTTTATGATCTAAAATAATATTAATAATAAGGGAAATTAAAGTTTTATAGAAGTGACTCCTAATATTTTCAGAGATCTAGTGCAATTTTTTAGAGATACATTTTTGACAGCTTTTACATGTCTTCCACAAGCATCGTTTATTTAGGTTTTCTAATTCTTTTAAAGCCAATTTAGAAAATTTAATTTTAGTAGAAAATTGTCCATTTGATCGAAGTTTTCAAAATTATTAGCATAGAGTTTTTTTCTCTTTTAATTTTTTTTTGACCATAGAGTTTATACATAATATTCTCTCATAAATTTTAACCTCCTGTGTATGTATGGTTATATTTGCTTTGCATTCCTAATAGTTTGCCTTTTTGTCTTCTCTTTCTTTTTTTAATTTGCTTTGCCAGAGGTATGTCTGTTGGTCTTTCCAAAGAAGTAGACTGTGTATTTGTTTATCAGTTGCATTGTCTTTCTGCTTTCTACTTGACTGTATTTCGTCAGTCCGGGATGTGCTTTTTCTCTCCACATTTTAACAACTCTGAAATTGGGCTGCATCTTTCAATTGAGGGTAACAAAGCACTGTGACATTGTTTAATTGGCAGCAGTTTTTCTTAGTAATATATAAAATATTGGTGCATCTTAGATGACATCCTAGATTTGATGAAATATGGACTTTCCGCTTTTGTCTTTTATAATTCATTTCTCCTGCTTTCCTTAAGTTGTTTTGTCATCTCTATTAACTGCTTCAGTTGAATTATTGGGTCATTTGTATATGTATTATGCTTGCCACTTTTTTGGGGAAGACAGTTAAGGGTATACATTTTCCTCTAATTGCTGCTTTTGTTGTATCCTACATGTTTTGATGCCTAGTGTTCTCAGTGATATTCTTTAAATGTTCTGTAATTATAGTTTCAATTTTTCTTTTATCCAAGTATTATTTAAGGTAGTGGTATTTTAATTTTCAAGGGCTTGAGGTTTTTGTTTTTTTTTCCAAATGGCTTTATTGAGATATAATTCATATATCATTCATTCAAAATGTATGATTTTTTAGTATGTTCAGAGTTGTGCAACCATCAGCATAGTCAATTTTAGAACATTTTTGTCACCTCAAAGAGAAACTCTATACCCATTAGTAGTCACTCCCTTTTTCTTCTAGCCACCTCCCTTCCACCCCCAGGCAACCACTAATCTACTTTCTATCTCCATAGATTTGCTTATTCTGGACATTTCATATAAATGTATCATACAGTATGTGGTCTTTTATGACTGGCTTCTTTCCCTTACCATCATGTTTTCAAAGTTCATCCTTGTTGGAGCATAATCAGTACTTCATTCCTTCTTATTGCAAAATCATATTCCATTGTATGGCTACACCACATTTTATTTATCTGTTCATCATTTGATGGACAATTGAATTGTTTCTCTTTTTGGCTATTATGCATAACACCACTAGGAATGGCTTTGGTTTTTAACAACATAGTCTTCACTCTAATTATTTTACATTGGTTTAGAATATGTGACATATATGCTTTCTAGGTTTATAAACTGTTGATATTTATCTTGTGGTTTAATATAAGATCAGGTTTTGTAAATGTTTCATGGATGCTGTAAAAGAAGGTATAATTTCTCAAATTACTTTTATAATTCCATTATAATATTCAAATTATTAATTTTTGACAACTTGGTCTATCAAGGACAGAAATATATGTTAGTGTCTCCCTGCATTTCTAGTAGTTTTTGCCTCACATTATTTAGTATACAGAAATTTATAACAGTTGTAAATTCATGGTGAAGTGTCCCATGCAAAATGTTCTTGATTCCATTTGTTATTTGCTTTTACTTCTTTGTCTGATATTAATTCTGTGAAATCTGTTTTATTTTTCATTTGCATTCATTTTATAAATCTTTGACTATATTTTAGATTTTAATATTTTAAATTGCTTTGTTTTAGGCGTGATCCTTGAAAACAGCATTTAGTTGGACCTTTTAATAGAGGGGTAAAAGTCTTTCACATTTGTTTAGTCTTAAGCCATGTTATTGAATTGAATATCATTCTATGCTTTCTTATTTCATGTTTTCTTTTCCTTTTTCTCTTCTTATGGCTTCCTGTAAACTGCAGTGTCTTTCTACTTGATGACCGGCAAATCCCCATCTTAGATCTACAGGTGGGGGCATGTTAGTGTGCACAGCTCCCAAGCCCATTCCCACTTTGCCCAAGGCTAATCAATTGAAAGATGAGATCGCTGGTATTAGGGTGCGAGTAGCTCAGTGCAATCCACTGGTTCAGGTAGCAGAGGTGCTCCAGGATCGTTAATGATGGTCTCTTGTCTCTCATAAAATGATCATGATCATGAGAGCTGTTGTTTATTGTCTGCTTTCTGTGTGCCTGGCACTTTGCTAGACATTTTAATACATTATCTCAATGAATGCTCAATAGCCCATTGAATAAGCAGGCACTGAGAGGTTGCCTAGGGTCACATACCTGGAAAGTGGCAGAGCCAGGACTTGGCCGAGATGGTCTGGCTATAAGCCCTAAGCTCTTGACGCTGCCCTCTCCCGACTCCCCACCTCCACTGTCCAGGTCGTTATTTTCCGGCTCCTCCCTTGCAGTTGCCACCTATATGTCCTCTGCCACTTATGACTTGTGAGTGGTCTCCATTGGGCACTGGATGAAGTAGGATGAATTATCTCAACTCTTTCTTGTAACACTCTCTGTCCTTAGACCACAAAGCAGTGCTGTCTTGGGCTTCCGAGGGCATTGGTCAGGGGTCTCAGCCAAGGGCAAACTGGACCAGTACCATCTCCCCTTTCTGACCTATGTACCTTGTCATCAGACTAAGCATATGCACCCAGATCACTCACCTTCGGATGAGTCTCCTCCTCAGGCCACTGGCCAGAGGCCCCTTGTGTATCATCATGATAGCTTTCATTAGGCCGCAGGACAAGTCCACACTTGCAGTGGACACGTAACCTGCCCCGGCTCTGGGGCCCCTTGCCGCTGAGTTTCTGGACAGATGCAGCCCTCCATGTTCTTGATCACCTCGTCTTAGGGGCTCTTCCTGGCGGGTGCCTGCTCAGAGGTCTATGTGGACCTCTGTTCTCCTGCAGGGCCCTCCTGCTTCTGCCTCTAAGTAAGACCAGCTTTACTGCCATGCTCCTGTCCCTTCAGCCTCATGAGGACTTCCCTCTCCCCTTAAACCAGTTGGACTGCATTTCTCCTACTTGCATCACAACCACTCCTGACGTAAATAAGTCAGGCTGAAGGAAAAGGAGGTGACTCCAATGTGCTTTCTGTTCCCAGGACAATGTGTGAGGGTTTACTACGGTGGGCATCATAGTTTCATTAAGAAGAGCGAAGCAAGATCCCATTCTGAGGCTCAATGGGGCCGTCCGTCCCGAGGACAGCGAGGGGCTTTCCCTGCACATCTGATTGCGCGGACAGACCCTGCCCAAAGCCAGGTTGTGGTTTCAGTACCCGATTCCTCTCGAAAACCCAACCTGTCCCAGGGATGATTTGTTTATTGAAAGAGGAGTAGTTACATAATTCCTGGAAAGTACAATATAAAAAAAATTGTCTGAAACCATTTCTTTTTCCGCTGGCAAAGTCCTCACTGTAGGTGTTTCCCTGGGGGAGGGAGTTATTCTCTGGGAGGGACTTCAGGTCAGCCCCTGATATTTCCAGCTGCTTTGTTAGTTCCACTGCTGGAGACCTTGAATGTTGCTGTAGTAGTTATTTGTCTCTAAGAGCAAGTAGAGTTTTATTTTTGTAATGATTTCTTTAAACCTCTGTGGAAGGTTCTGTGCTAACTGGTTTCTATTCCCGTGTATGTCTCTTACTCCATGTAAAAATACCCTCCTGTAGTACTAGCAGTTGTTACTAATCATGTGGGAGTATATTCCAACTCCTTTCAATGCAAATTTTAGAGCCAGTTGGCTACAGTTTGGTGCACTGAGTTTCTCATGAAACATAATTTAAAAAACAGAGGGAAAAACTTACTACGTTTTAAAAATAAGACTCTCTTTGT